CTTAACAATTTAACTAAACAGACTAAAGTAACTGCTGTACCGTACTATCCGCCTTGGTCCGTACAGCAGTATTTTAGTTTTATCATCTGATAATAGGAAGTATATATATATATATATATATATATATATGTGTGTTTGTATGTGCACATAGAAGCATTATATTAAACAACCAAGCAAATTACATGTTATTCAGAGATTTCATTAATAATATTTAAAAAGAAAAACATGATCATTATTTACTGGTCTAATTGTATTAGTTGTTTACTGTGAAATTTATGCTTTATTTTTATCAAATATGTCAAGATTTTCACATGGGAAATTAGCAAAAATTTAGCTTTGTATTTAAAATATTTTATGTCTTTTGCTCATCTTTGGTGCGGGCTGAACAAGATAGGTTTTATTTCAGTATCTCGGTAATTAGGATCAAATGCACAAATTGTTAAAGATTTCATTAAGAATTTATAATAATTAGTTTTTTAGTGGTAAATACATTCATAAGATGAAAACACCTCTTTTAATAGCAACCATAAGTAACATGATATGTAATGAAAATGTTCTCTCCTACTGTGTTTTGCAGTTAGGACTCCAGATATTTTTGGCAAAAAAATAAATAAATTGATAAATTTCAAGTCAAAAATGGTGTTATGCTTTGTATATGTGAAAGCTTAGCTGACTAACAGTGGGCATAATATGGTAAAACTTGGGACATAGACACACATACTAAAAACCTGGAAAAACTTAAGTAATGTTAACCAGTAGTAGCATACTTTCACTGAGACATTTTGGGCTTTAAATAGAATATATTTTAACTTCTTGTATTTGTAAATGTTATTTTCTGTCTCTTCTGCAGTGATGTTGTATCCATAAGTCTTTTGTACTGTATGTGGAAAGCACAATAAAACATGTATATACAAGGTTGCCTTCAGTTAATTTATGCTCTTATTTATGTGAATAAATAAGTACATACTTGTAGATCTTTGACAAAAATCAGCTTTGCAACTTAATATCTGTAAAACTTTTCACAATATCCCATGAAGCACTTCCAAGGTAAAAAATGATTTTTTTTTTCATATATTCACTGTATGGCTTCTTTCCAGCTTTAATATTAACTTCTGCAGTCTATTGTTCCTTATTGAATTAAAAAAAAAAAGTGAAATGTTGAGATTGGTTTGTAATTACATTTTTTTCCTACATCAGTCAGTTAATAATAATTTTTAATTGTCATTGTAAATCTGGCAGGTTTCTTTTGTAAGCAAGTAACTATGCTTGTTAATACATGTGCTTAGGCTATTTTCCAACAAACAACGTAAGGCTACTTCCAGAAACTTTAGATATTTGAGCCTTTGAACTAGTTTTGAGAGAAGAACACTAATTTTCACAAGTAGAAATGTAAATATATCTGTGATGATCATAAAACCATTATTGAATTTAAAGGTGAGATACAATGTTATGATTTATGAGCATTTGATTTTGTCAGCTGATCATAAAATATTTCTAAAATAATTGTGGACATAACAGTGAGTGAACAATTTTACAGAAAATCAGTCAAATACAATTTTTACTAAAATTTTAATTTTGAGGTGTTTATTAATTCACAGGTTTTTAGATTAACCAGTTCTACTAAAAAGGACATGCTATTTCAGATTTGACACAGAGCCTTAAAATGGCATTAAATTTCAACTCCAAATATAAGTCTTGAAATTAAGATGGCTTTTAGTAAACCAAAATATTTAAAATTTTCATTGTTTTTGTAATTTTATCAACTGGTACTAATTGTAGAACATTGATAAAATAATTTTCTTTGTACACTGACTGACCCAGTTCTCATTTGCTGCTGACATTTTACAGACAAACTCGTAAACTTAACAATTTACAAACAGACTAAAGTAAAAAATCTTGTTTCAGACTTTAACACTAATTAGTAAAGATAAATAAAAAATTGGGAATTTAAAAACCTGCAAATAGGGATTATAAAAAAGTAAGCAAACAAGGCTGGGAATACTATAGACATTATTTACTCACACTACAAATCCCTATTTGCAGG